CCTCATTACTATCTAACAGGAATACAAGTCCTAGCTTCAGCTCAACCCTCTCTGCAACCACTTCAGAAGGGAGGACTGAGGGGACACCTGGGTGGCTTAGTGGTTGAGTGTCTGCCTTTGGCTCAAGTTGTGATCCTGGGGTCCCTGTGGGGAACCTGCTTCTCCCACTGACTATGTCTTTGCCTCTCTCTGTGTGTCTCTTATGAATAAATAAAATCTTAAAAAAGAGAGAGAAGAAAGAAGAAGAAGAAGAAGAAGAAGAAGAAGAAGAAGAAGAAGAAGAAGAAGAAGAAGAAGGGAGGACTGGGTACCTCTTTGTAGTCTGGCAACGGTGGGGAGTCCAGGCTCCCCATTCAATTGTGCTAACAGGGGTTGAGGTGGGACTACCTTATTTTTCTGTAGGTGAATTAGAATACTTATCTGAAAGATCTCTGTCTTGAGAAGCTGACAATTCCATAGTTGTTTGGCTACAGTAAGCACACTTTGGTAGCATTGTTTTATCTTTTTTAGAGAGAGAGAGAGCATGAGTGTGGAGGGGGAGGGGTGCAGAGGGAGAGAGAATCTTAAGCAGGCTTCACACCCAGTGCAGAGCCTGACACAGGCCTCCATCTCACCACCCTGAGATCATGACTTAAGCTGAAATCAAGAGTCAGACACTTAACTGACGGAGCCACCCCGACACCCCTCCATTTTTGCTTTTATCTGTACTACTGGTGTTTCCAGGTTGCTGGCTTCTTCAGCTCCAATTCTGGGATATACACAGCAAAAAGGAAATTCAGGAAATTCACTACCATGTCATTTCTTAAGTTTTTTTTTTTTTAAGATTTTATTTATTTATTTTAGAGAAAGAGAGATAGCAAGTGGAGGAAGAGCAGGGGGAGAGGCAGAGAATCCCAAACAGACTTTATGTTGAGCACAGAGCCTAAGGTGGGGCTCAACCTCATGATCCGTGAGATCATGACCTGAGCCAAAATCACAAGTCAAATGCTTAGGTGACTGAGCCACCCAGGCACCTCTCATTTCTTAAGTTCTAAGTTACATAGATGGTATGCCTCTTCTCTTCAACTTTGAGATACTTTTTGTTTAAGTACAATGTTCAGAGTTTTTAGTTGCACTTATTGGGCTAAATTGGGAAAAATATGTCTAATTCATCTTTCTGAAGTGCAACAGAAATAGGATACATACATGTGGATAGATGGGAACAATCCACAAATAAATAAAGTAAGGGATCAAAATTCCTAAAAGTTTGAAACTGAAATGTTGGCAATATGTTTTTTAGAATAATAAAAGATAAACCAGTTATTTTCTCTTGAATGAATGTGTATCCCAAAAATGTTGGACTAAAAAAACTGTAAAAGGAGTTTTTCCTGATTATGAGCCTGCTTTCAAGTAACACCAGATTGTAGAAAGAAGTAATGATTTCTTGACTCAGAATGCCTGTTAATTTCCATTCTAAAAAAAAAAAACCTTTTCATTTCCAGTTTGAAGGGCCCTGATCTTAAATAAGGAGAAGAGATGAAATGTATATGTTATACATATGCATATCCTGAGAAATATCCATTCACCCAGCGACTTGGTGCTCAGAGAATTCACATGGGCCAGAAGAGCCAATTATGTAAATACTCTGGGACCTTTTTGTCAGGGCTGCATTTCAGATTTCTTTGACCAAATTTCTACAATGAGAAGCTTACTTTTGAAGAAAAAAATTAGGCAGACTTAAGAAATATTTAGAACACACTGGTCAAGTGAAAACAATACTATTATCAAATTGGCAAGTATTAGTAACAGCTTAAAAGTTGTCCATCATAAATGGGAATCATCAATGTTTAAAAATTGTGATGTCTGATATTAAAATACTGTTTTTTCCAATTCAAACAATATTGTTTGAAAATCCATTGCATTTCTTCAGTAAACTCACAGGGTGATAGACCAGGTCAGCAATGTCTAAGAATGAATGACTGTTGGCAACATTTGGCTTGTGGATTAAAACTCATTAGCTAGGGGGCCTTGGTAAGTGGCCTAACTTACCAACAATCTGAGTCTTGAGTGTGCACCTCCAGAAAACTGGAACTAAATTACAACATGGGTAAAAATTTATTTCAATAATGTTTGAGGTTATTTTGTAATCGTGAGCAAGGTAAATTCTCTAAGGCTTTCCTTTAAAAGTAGACAAAAAAATATAGATAGATCATAGAACAAATAATAAAATATGTTAACTATGCTGGAATTAAAATAAAAAACATAATAAACATGAAAACAAAATTAAAAAAAGAATATACGGATAAGAATATTAAGATATTAAATGAAATCTTATGTGTCAATGGCCCAGCACTATAAATGTGACATATTTGAAGTTATCAGTAAGTGGTAGCTATTATAATAGACATTATATCAGTAAAGATGAGAAAACAGCCAGAAATCTATGTTTAGATAAGTAAAATACAAATTGAAATGACCTTTTTGTTTATCAGGGAAATATTACAAAAAAATATATACTGTTTACTGTTGGCTATAGCATAACGAAATGAGAATGTTTATATATTGCAGATGAATGAGAATATAAAATGATATAATTTTTCTTTTTTAAAAAATATTTTATTTATTTATTTATGAGAGACACAGGGAGAGAGGCAGACATAGGCAGAGGCAGAAGCAGGCTCCCTGAGGGGAGCCCGATGCAGGATTTGATCCCAGGACCCCAGAATCATGACCTGAGCCAAAGGCAGGTGCCCAACCACTGAGCCACCCAGGTATCCCAATGATATAAATTTTTTAAAGGATAATTTGTCAATGTGTATAAAATATTTTAAAAAATAAACATTCTCTTAACCGAACCATACCATTTCTAATTTACCCTAAGCCATTTTTAAATGTCCAAAGATGTATGCGTACATACAAACTGCAATATTGATTATATATCTAAAAAAACTGATTTTTAAAAATAGTTTATACTTTAATGAAGGTATGGCACAATCACACAATGGCTTTTATGAAAACATATTACACAGTATGATATGATTTTAGAGACCTAAGCATAGCCAGTGTAAAAAATGAAATAATGCCAACAAAGGGTGGTTATCTGTCTTCTTTTCTAAGGAAGAAAGTAGCTTTTATCCTAATTTAAAACTGAAATGAACACATGTATGCTCACATATATAACACACACAAACATGCTCATTGTTTCTATTAAGAATCTGTCTCAATATTTTGTTTAATATTTAATTTTCTCTTGAACAAATCTGTCTTTCTCTTTCTGCAATTTAATTCAACTGAGTATACCAGTCAAGTGCACATAGTAAGACACAGCCAATTCATGTCTTTCATTTGCTTTCAGCTTTCAGTGCTCTATTAAGGTAATATATCATAGTACTTGAATGTCTTGTGGAAAATTACTTTTAGGTAGTTAAAAGGTTTGTATCCTAATCTAAGAAACACAGTTGAGCAGTATTGATATGAAACAGCTAACACAAGGCCACATAATTAATAAGTGAGTCTCTGAACTTTTTACCGAATCAAACTAAAAAAGCTATACATCAGAGATCCTATGTTGCTATGGCTCCCAGTGCATCTGAGAGTGATGATATAAGATCATGTACTTGGCTTTGGAGGAGAGTTATAATAAATAGCCAGATGTGCCTTTCTGTTTTTGTCTCTGTTAAGTAAGCTTTTATACATGTTGTGCAAAGCTTCATCTAAGATGTTCTCAGATCTCAGGGCCAAGAAAAAGTGGTGCCTCTCCTGATGGTTTGTTTGATTCCTTTTAGAAAACAGCCATCATAGAAACCAACAATTTTCCCATTTGACTTAACTGGTAGAAGAATTGTTTTCAACAGATCAGCCTTTCTCATCACAGATCTCTGCATATGCCTTTCCTCACTCCTCCACCCCTTTCCGTACGTGACTTGTGGTAGAGGTGGCAATGGCACTGATGCAATAAGGAAGAGCTCTATCCTTAACAATTAGTGTAACTTCCCAAATTAAGACATGCTGCCTCCGACAGGTTTTCCCTTGCAGTGTGTGACCTTTCCAAAAATCCTATGTGATGACTTTTATTATTCTTACTTCCATTATTTCAATCTGTAAACTGAGACTTAGAGGTATGAGGACTTGATCAGAATAAAGTAATCAGTGATGGAGCTGCTTCTGGCTGCAAAAATCTATGACTTATGCATTTTCCACTGTACTACGTTCTTCTGATATAAGATATACTGTGAGGTGAGTTCAGTCTTTACAGACTTTTATAAAGAAGAAACCATCTAATACAAATCTCCTTCCTCCCAGCCTGTATTTCCTGAATTGTTCCTACACATTGGTATCCAAGACATTCTTCTAGAATTATGACACAAAATAAGTAATTTAGGACTTTCCACTTTTAATGCACTATCACTATTTTCTATGTAGTGCGAATAATTCAGTCCCCTATTTGCAAGAACAATAATTCCTCCTTTATTAACATGACCGAGAAAACAGAGATTACAATCTGTGAAAATTCTTTTGTTGGTGGTTCGCGGTAGAAGTGTTGAAAATAAATGTCCCCATCATTTTACTTGCTTTACCTAAGAAATAAATTAACTAACAAAAGTGAGGTCACCCCACCTGTCTCTCACTGTTGCAAGCTGCCAACAGCCATGTTAATTCCACCAGAAACTACATGCAACACATTTTGTAAGTCATTGGTCCTGACAATAACACAGATCCAGCAGCTGACTGAACCTTGAATATGTATTTACTCACAGTTAGAATTGTATTGGCTATTGGGTGGTTTTTTTCATCAAATAATTTTTCTTTATAATAGTCAGATAATTCTGACCTAGTCATGAGTCAGTATCATCCTACAGCATTTTAAGTCATATATAAACTGATTATATTATTTTTGATATTTGGCAGCATCCTTCTTCATAAAGTAACCAACAATGCCTCAGTTATACTTCTTAAAATAGTATTTCATTTAACAATCTTCAGGTATGTTGTGGTATTGTGATCTTTATCCAATATCTTACCTCAGTTCTTAACTGGTAGATCAGTCTATCTTTGTTGTTTGGGGATTTTGATTCTTCTTTTATATCTCCTGATATTTCTTCCATTTCATTTTCATGTTGAATGGGAATATAGTTAAACTGAAAAGAGAGAGAGAGAGAGAAAAGTGAAAACTATAATCACATCATGCTCCAAAGGCTGGCTCCAGGATAATCCACATTAGTCTTTCATTTTGCTCTTAGTTTAGTTTTTTGTTTTCTATGTGGATTCTGAAAGGTTTTACTGTTGCTGTGGTAATTAATGTAGTTAAACCATTTATTTCTTATATTTGAAAAATTCTAGGTTGTTTGAAAACAAATCAGCAAATCTCCATAAACCCAAACTCATCAATTGAAAAAATTGAGCAAAACTTGGTTACCATACAGAGTCCTGGTAATTGACCAATTAGATTCTAAACAAATACAATTATTTTATTTTTTAAATGATTTATTATTTATTCATGAAAGACACAGAGGGGCAGACACATAGGCAGAGGGAGAACCAGACTCCCTGCAGAGAGCCTGATGCAGGACTTGATCCCAGGACCCCAGGATTATAGACACTCAACCACTGAGTCACCCAGGTGTCCCTAAACAAATCCAATTAATACTGATCTTACAGACTTGAATATTTGTAATACAGTGCCCTGTGTAATTCTACTTAATGTGTATTTTCTATGAAGTCTAAAGTGTATGCAGATTATGACAAAGGCAAACTTGGGCAATAGGAAAAAATACACCTATGCAATGCTGGAACTGGTAAAAAATACATTTATAAATGACACCAGTAAATTGTGATATGGAACTATAAGAAAACAAGATAAATAAACTGTGGCATATCCATTATTATATTTCCATAATAATGGAATATTGTTCAGCACTAAAACAAATCATGAAAAGACCTGGAGGAAACTTAAATATATGTTACTAAGTGAAAAAAGCCAATCTGAAAAGGCTGATCTGAAACGGCTACTTACTGTATAATTCTAATTATGTGACATTCTGGAAAAGGCAAAATGATGGAGACAATATAAAGTCAATAGCTTTCAGGGTTGCAGGGAGGAAGGGATGAAAGGTGGAGCATAGAGATTTTTAGGGCAGCGAAACTATTTGGTATAATACTGGTGGATACATATCATTATACATTTGTCTAAACCCAGAGAATGTACAATACCAAGAGTATAATTTTAAGGTAAACTAGGCACTCCAGTGACAGCAATGTGTCATTGTAGGTTCATCATTTGTAATGAATGTACCAGTATGGTGGAGGACACCAACAATGGAGACGGGTGTGCTTAAGTGGAGACAGGGAGAATATGGGAAATGTGTATCTTCCATTCAATTTTGCTGTGAACCTAAAACTGCTCTAAAAAAAATGGTCTATATAAAAAGAAATATAGAAACATGTGAACAATCCTGTACATGCACAGTAATCCTTCCCCCTAGCTGTCCTTATAGTCTTCAACAGAAACACAAAATTTGATAAACCTATAAAATGTGTAACACATACACATATAATATTTTTTAACTTATATTTCTCCTAAAATATGTGGGTAAATAATTTCCAAATTTATATAATGTGTAAGTAATCCCACAATAAATTAGAAAATAAAAACAAACATTATACTACCTATTTAAAATTAGAAATTATTTGACTCACAATATTATCATTGTTAATGGTACTATTAAGTATGTACTAGTCTCTAGGAACTGGACTTGACATATATTTCCTTAGTTAAAACTAGACTAATCTTGTGTGTTAGGTATTACCATCTTTACCTTAAAGAAAAATAAACCAGGACAGCCCGGGTGGCTCAGCGGTTTAGTGCCACCTTTGGCCCAGGGTGTGATCCTGGAGACCGGGAATCAAGTCCCACGTCGGGTTCCCTGCATGGAGCCTGCTTCTTCCTCTGCCTGTGTCTCTGCCTCTCTGCCTCTCTCTCTCTCTCCTCTCTCTCTCCTCTCTGTGTATTCTCATGAATAAATAAATAAAATCTTTAAAAAAATAAAATAAGCCATATTTTTACTAGCCTTAAGCAAATTTCCCCAATTCACAAAGCTAGTAACTAGAAGCACATTTTAAGAATGTTCTTGCCAAATTCACTGAGTTCTTAATCATAAACCAGTAGCTACATCTATAATTATAAAGCTAAAAGCCATAGTATAGTTTACTGAAAGGCAAAAAGCTTATAGTCACATATTGGAAATGAACTATAATGGTGTTAGGGGGCTGATTTGCCAAGTAGAGAGGCTCCTTGTTCAGTTAGTAACATGGAGAACACACCATGGAAGGCAAGTGTGGAATGGGACACAATGCCACAGAATTCAGTAAATGTCTGTCTACGCATGTTTCTCCCCACTTTCATGTAAATAGACAATAGTGGCATTAATCATGGGCTAAAAAAAAATAAAAGTCACTTTGCTAAAGAAAATAATAAATTGCAAGGGTAAATCAAGGCATTCGGTTTTGGTTTGAATTCACCAGAGTAAAATCCAACTCATTCTGGTAATTGAATATCCTTTGTTTAACTTTCTGAAATCTTGACCAATAATTCCCAAGGAATTAAATCAATCAATAAGCTCTCTCACTGTCAACAGAACTTCAATCAACATTACAACTCAAAGGAGAGAGGAGGCAGGAAAATAAATTTTCATGCATAACAGTATGGGAAATCCACACCAATTCCCTAAAATAATTCCATTTTCATTTTTCACTGACAGTTAAATATCAAGGATCTCTGGACATATGAAGAAACCAAGAATATGAATAAAATAGCCAATATTTGAAAACACAATGATGAAAAAGAAAGATAAATGGTATAATTTATGATATGAAAGAAAATGTTATTAAAAATCTAATCACTATATTTGGGAAAAATGAACATTGCACTCATAAATTAAGGACAGAACAATTTCAAAACTTCAAAGAATAAAAGAAAAATTTTAAAATGTGATTAATAATCCCCTCCTTTCGAAAAATGTACTAGGAAAGTTGGAAAATAGAGTCAGATGTTGAAATGTCTCAAAGCTCATCTCTTGGAACTGCTCACTTGATGCATGCACTCCTTTGGACAGCTGATGTGCACCCATAGCACTGCATACTAGTCAAAATTCTGACAGTCTACCAATGTCTAGCTCAGTCTGTAGGTCTCCTTTGAACTTCGGACCCACATGTTCCATTTCCTACTTGTCACTTTTATAGGTACCCAAAACTTAACATGTTGCAAAGACAAATTAAGAACTCCTCTAAATCTGTTTCTCTGCCAGTCTTTGCCATTTCTGTAATTATCAACTCTATGCTTCCCTTTGATCAGGCCAAAGCTATTGGATTTATTTTTAGCTTCTTTCTTTCTCTGACACATCATTTCCAAACTGAAATCAAAATAATTCAACTTTGCCTTTAAAATACGTAATAAATCTAACCACTTGTCTACCAACACTATTACTGCCCTGATCACCACCAGGGTCTCTCCCAACAGTTATTTTAATAGCTGCCGCAATCTCTGTTCTTCCATGTAGTTCTGGAGCCCCTTTCCCAAAACAGCAATCAAACAAAGCATTTTAAAAGTAATTCAGATAATGTCACTCTACTGCTCAAATCTTTCCTGTGGCTTCCTAATCCATTCAGAGTATAAATCAAAGTCCTTATCATCTGCCGCATCCTGGAACCCCTCAGTGTCCTTCTCCTGCACCTGATTCTGTCAGTTACTCTTGCCTTCTCAAGGACCCTACACACTCCAGGCAGGAAACAGCAAAAGTAAAATAACAGTAAGTGAAATATTGTACAGTGAAGGCTATTAAAACAATACAACAACAACAACAAAATAATACAACAGGAAAAAAATGATGGCTAGATGAATAAAACAACTATATTTCTTCCTATGAAAATTTGAGTTATTTTGATCATTTTAAAATTATATTTTAGACTCAAAATCACCTTAATTTTGCCACTTACCCTATTCAACTTCAGGTTCAGATTAATGGAGTTATAACTAAAATCTAATTAGCAGCTGAAAAGTTGAAAGCTGTGGATGTGTAGATGTTAAAGATTATTCATTTAGCATAATTATGAACGTCATCCACAAGTGATATATCATATTACTTAAATTGAAAGTGACAGAAAGAGAAGGTATCTGAGGAAGTGAATGAGTCAGCATTAGAAAGCATTTTCCAAGTTCAAGTCCTTTTATTTAATATTTATTTAAGTAAAATCTCTTATAAGACTTTTTTCTGAAATTGCATCATAATATAATTCCAAAATTCCTCTTTAAAATTCCTCTTTTCATACTGCAGTATTTGTGAAAGTTTAAACCAGGTAACTTGTCATATCTCTGACTTCAGAAATATCTGCCATAATTTGCTTCTGGAAAATTAGCAACACTATATGCAAATATTTATTCCACTATATTTAAATTAGCATGGATTGTAAAGTCTTTTTGAAGATAATTCTGGAAAAAAAATATTGTGTAACATAAATAAAAATATTTTATTACCTATTCAGATCAAGTAGGAAAAGAAAATTTCATTTCAAAAAGGGCATAAAAGTATAATCTAACACACCCTGTTATTTTGATTTCATCTCACATTTTATCCTTCAAAATAATCTAAAACGATTAGGTAATTATTGCTTATCACAAAGATCAGGCCTTTGTGAAATACTGTGTTCAATATTTATGTCAATATTATTAATAATACAACATAATTCAATCTCTTCAAACATCAAACACACCATTTCTCAACAATCTTCAAGCTTCATTCATGGAGAAGTAGAAAAGCTACACATAGGGAGGATTCTCAACTTCTTGTTAACATCATCTACAAATTTACATGCATCGATACAAATCTTTCCTTCTTTCCTCTTGTTAAAGAATGTAAATATCCTTCCTAGATTCAAAGACTAATCATTCCATTTGCAGTCAGGATTTGGTACCTTTGAGGTACTTGGCAAACTCATTCTAAAAATTGTTCCTCTCTTGGATTTTCAAGACTTCCTGGTTTCTCCCTCATCAACGTGTAATTGCTTGATAGTTTCCCTTCAGGTTTGAGAACCAAGTATGAGAGATCAGGTGTAGAAGATCCTCTCCCTGTCTTTCTCTCTGTTT